GCAACCGTTACCAGCTGACATAAACACTTTTCATCAAATGAAGTGTGGATTCATGTGAAAGAGCACCTGAGGCACAGAAAAGCCACAACAGCACATTTTATTCAGTTTTAGAATACAAAATAGAAGAGCATATTGCTGAAGGTGAAGTTAAAGTATCAATGAGCAAGTGCCTCCAATTCCAGCACTCTGGGAGGCCGAGAAGGGAAGATTGCTTGAGCCCAAGAGTTCGAGACAAGACAAGCCTAGGCAACATTGTGAGACCCCCATCTCTACAAAAAATAAAGTTAGCTGGGTGTGGTGGTGCACACCTGTAGTCCCAGCTACTGAGGGGCCAAGGCACGAGGATGGCTTGATCCCGAGAGTTTGAGGCTGCAGACAGTGATGACACCACTGCACTCCAGCCTGGGCAAAATAGTGAGACAGCGTCTCATAAAAGAAGAAATATTCCTGGAAAACTGCAAGTTCAAAGGTATACCAAGGATCGGGTGCAGCAGCTCACACCTGTAAACCCAGCACCTGGGAGGAAGATCACTTGAGCCTAGGAGTTTGACACCAACCTGGGCAACACAGTAAGACCCCGTCTCTATTTAAAAAAAAAAAAAAAAGGCCAGGCGTGGTGGCTCACACTTGTAATCCTAGCACTTTGGCAGGCCAAGGCAGAAGGATTGGCCTGAGCTCAGGAGTTTGAGACCAGCCTGGGCAACAGGGTGAAACCGCGTTTCTACTAAAATACAAAAAATTAGCTGGGCATAGAAGCACATGTCTGTAGTCCCAGCTACTCATGAGTCTGAGGCAGGAGAATCGCTTGAACCCAGGAGGCGGAGACTGTAGTGAGCCAAGACTGCACCACTGCACTGCAGCCTGGGCAACAGAATGAGTCTCCCTCTCCAAAAAAAAAAAAAAAATTTTACAAAGGTATACAGAGGAAGCAGGGAAGCAGCCTCATTCCAGAATCTATCATTGCCGGCTAGGGCGGTAGCTCACGCCTGTAACCCCAGCACTTTGGGAGGTCAAGGCGGGTGGATCATGAGGTCAGGAGTTCAAGACCAGTCTGGCCAAGATGGTGAAACCCCACCTCTACTAAAAATACATAAAATTAGGCTAGATGCGGTGGCTTACAGGCCTGTAATCCCAGCACTTTGGGAGGCCAAGGTGGGCGGGTCACCTGAGGTCGGGAGCTTGAGACCAGCCTGACCAACATGGAGAAATCCCATTTCTACTAAAAATACAAAATTAGCCAGGCATGGTGGCACATGCCTGTGATCCCAGCTACCTGGGAGGCTGAGGCAGGGGAATCACTTTAACCCAGGAGGCGGAGGTTGTGGTGAGCCAAGATCTTGCCACTGCACTTCAGCCTGGGCAACAAGAGAGAAACTCTGCCTTAAAAAAAAAAAAAAAAATTAGCCGGGCATGGCGGCAGGCGCCTGTAATCCCAGCTACTCAGGAGGCTGAGGCAGAGAATTGCTTGAACCCGGGAGGCGGAGATTGCAGTGAGCCGAGATCGCGCCAGTGCACTCCAGCCTGGGCGACAGAGCAAGACTCCGTCTCAAAAAACAAACCAAAACCAAAAACTATCACTGCCAATCCATACAGTAAATAGTAAAAAGTTCAATACACTATTTCCATAGCAAAATATGCTATTTTTTGAACTCACGTCAATGATCTCAGGTGTTTAACAACTAGATTGATTCTGAACAGCTGATATTTACAATCTTTTTTTTTTCCTGAAAAGAGACAATCGCTAACCACAAGACCCAAAAATGATATAGCTTGTAGATTTTTAAACTGAGAAAATTCAATTAGGCAGGAGAATCTTAATTTAGCAATAAAACACTGGCTTACACTCAAGAGATTTTTCACTTCCAGTTTCTACTGCCTTCTAAAGTCTAACTGAACACAGGAAGAAAAATTAAAAATCCAGTTGCCAGGTTACAGTGCACAGGAAATCAATATTGAACAAAGGCCACCCCCCATCAGAAAGTTATAGAAATTAACCATATAGCATTATGTTCACTCTGACAATTTGTTTTGCAGGCTAAAGATAGACAATTTTATTTCAGGGATTCATTCCTACACAGCTGAGTGAGGGAAAGTAAGATTTTTACCAAAATCAGAGATGCAAGTTTCTGGACAACTTCCTAATTACATACAAGACATTAAACAGGAAAAACAGTAACTTAAAATATCGGTAAAGTAAATAAAACATTTTACTTTTCATCTGTTTTTAATTGGTCCAACGACAATGATTCAAAAAATGCGAAGTAGCACCCTCTGGCAAGGTTAAGTGGAAAATCTTAAGTGGGGGAAGGTCCTAAAATCCCACCCTTCTCCAAGATAGGTTCGAAATTAAGAGCTTTTATGTAAACTATCAAACAAACTTTTATAACCTAAGATTTAAAGAAATGTAACTACGAAATCGCTAAAGAGCAAATAGGTAAATCAAATGAGAAAACACACTCCCAAGCCCTTAAGGCACCCAGCATAAATATACCTCTTCCCAGAGCTTAAAAAATATTTTTCTTATTAGCCAGGCACGGTGGTGTGCTTGCCTGCAGTCCCAGCTACTCCGGACACTGAGGCAAGGAGGATCGCTTGAGCCCACGAGGTACCGTTTGCAGTGAGCTGAGATCGCGCCACTGCACTCCAGTCTAGGCAACAGACCAATACCCTGTCTCAAAAAAAAAAAAACAAAAAAAAAACACCACCACACTTTTAAAACAAGTTATCAACGAAATAAGCCCTTACCAGCCAGATTCTTCTTAAGACTGGATGACGACCCATTAAAAGCTTCTTCCACCTCAAATAACTGACTTACAACTTTTATTTTGTAAATTCATTTAAGTCTTTAGCTTGGTAAGAGTCCCTGAAGAATTTACTAAATGGAATATATTGAATATTTTTAAAATAATATTTTAGCTGGTCTCTTCAAAACACTTTTTTTTTTTTTTTTTTGAGACGGAGTCTGGCTGTGTCCCCCAGGCTCACTGCGAGCTTCCCCTCCCGGGTTCACGCCATTCTCCTGCCTCAGCCTCCTGAGTAGCTAGGACTACAGGCGCCCACTACCGCGCCCGGCTAATTTTTTGTATTTTTAGTAGACACGGGGTTTCACCGTGGTCTCGATCTCCTGACCCTGTGATACGCCCACCTCGGCCTCCCAAAGTGCTGGGATTACAGGCGTGAGCCACCGCGCCCGGCCGGATCACTCGTTTTGAAGGTAGCTTTTTTTTTTTTTTTTGAGACAGTCTCACTGTGTGGCCCAGGCTGGAGTGCAGAAGCGCGATCCCCCCTGCAAGCTCCACCTCTCGGGTTCACGCCATTCTCCTAACTCAGGCTTCCAGCAGCTGGGACCACAGGCGCCTGCGACCACGCCTGACTAATTTTTTGTATTTTTAGTAAAGACGGGGTTTCACCGTGTTAGCCAGGATGGTCTTGATCTCACGACCTCGTGATCCGCCCGCATTGGCCTCCCAAAGTGCTGGGATTACAGGCGTGAGCCGCCGCGCCCGGCATGAAGGTACCACTTTTTTTTTTTAACTAGAGAGGCTGCTTTTTGGAATTGTCTCTCTACTGCTACACTTACTTTTTTTGAGACGGAGTCTCCCTCTATTGCCCAGGCTGGAGTACAGTGGCGCAATCTCGGCTCACTAAAACCTTCGACTCCTGGGTTCAAGCGATTCTCCTGCCTCAGCCTCCCGAATAGCTGGGACTACGGGAGTGCACCACCACGCCCGGCTACTTTTTGTATTTTTAGTAGAAACGGGGTTTCACCATATTGGCCAAGCTGGTCTCTAACTCCTGACCTCGTGATCCACCTGCCTCAGCCTCCCAAGTATTGGGATTACAGGCGTGAGCCACCGCGCCTGGCCTTACACTTTTCACCCAAGTTTTTAAAGTTACTTTCCTAACTTAGCCGTTCCTTACCTAGATATCTCATGTGCCCTCCAGAAAGTGCTTCTACTTCGAGCCCATTTTAAACATTTTTCACGAAAAGATATGTTGTTTGGCTCTATTATTAAAAGCTGCTTAATGCCTTATCTGACAAAAATTTCCCCTTACAGATTTTCAGAGTATGAAAGGTTAAGACTGATGTCCCTTCTACATTACTTATGAGAGATTTCAAAGGGAAAAACAAAAGCTATTTTATATACTTTTTTTTTTGAGACGGAGTTTTACTCTTGTTGTCCAGGCTGGAGTGCAATGGCAAGATCTCGGCTCACCGCAACCTCTGCCTCCCTGTTTCAAACGATTCTCCTACCTCAGCCTCCCGAATAGCTGGGATTACAGGCATGTGCCACCACGCCCGGCTAATTTTTTGTATTTTTGTAGCGACGGGGTTTCTCCATGTTGGTCAGGCTGGTCTCGAACTCCCGACCTCAGGTGATCCGCCCACCTCGGCCTCTTAAAGTGCTGGGATTACAGGTGTGAGCCACCGCGCCCAGCCTGATTCAAACTTTTAAAAACCCCGATTACGTATCACTCTCGGGGAGGGGGCTCCCTCAAAAATTCTAACATGCTGTGCTCTAGAAGCTTGTTTCCAGTGATAAACTCGCTTCAGTGTATCCCTCACTCATTCCTTTAGATTTCTAGCCAGTATACTCACCGTCAGTATCATGACTTTGAATCAAGCAAACCCTTCTTTCTTTTCCACAAAGTCACTCCCTCTCATCTCTCTTCTGAATGGAATATTTTTTAAAAAAAGGTTCCCCCTTAATTGCTCTCCATACCTTTTAGGACGCAGTTAGTACCTTAAAAAATAACCTCCCGACAAAAAAAAACCAAAAACTAAAACAAAACCCTGTAAAACCGGCAGTTCCCACTGTACGTGGCAGTGCCAAGAATTCTTACTCGGTTGAAATCGCCGAGGTTTCCTTTATCATCATAAAATGAAGACTACCATAGAATCTCAACACAAATTTAAACTCTTCAGGACAACAGTAGGTTAATTACACGCCTATTACATACATATTTCATCCCACAGTTACAGGATAGTGAAACCTCACCTCAGGTTTAACATGGAACACAGAAAATGTCCGTGTCTTTCCAAAGCAGACACGTGCAGAACTACCTGCTCAACGGTAACTCCTCCTCGCTGCCAGGGAAGCGGCTGAGTTTTGGCAACCTCCCGTGTTTTCAAGAGACTGGAGTTACGAGGCGGACTTCAAGTACCCACACTCAAGAAACCCAGACACTGGAGAGAGAAGTATGTTGCGGCGTGGGCATGGCTTCACTCTAGTTGCCTAGCAGTACCTGCCGCTCACGGCTAGGCCCGCGTGGGGCTCTCCCAGGAGCTTCGCCAGGCACCTGGCGGCACCTACCACAGGTGCACTCGACTCAGGGCCTGGCCCGGGGACCACAAAGCAGCAGAACCGGAGCGCCCAAGCAGCCGAGGCGACCCACGAGGGTTCACGCTTCACGGCGCCGCATGGCGAGCAGCTCCGGGGAGCTTAAGGCCTAAGGTGAAGTTACCTAAGGAAGCGAGTAGCCCAGACAGCCAAAGAGGGAAAAAGTAGGATTTCCGGTATAGGGAAGCCAAGGGACGTTTCAGGGGTGGGGGAAGCAGACATCTGGAGGAAAAATGTCCTCCACCCGCCAACGGTAACCGGAACAAGGATCCTGGACCTCCCGCCCCCAGGCAGGAACGACTGCCACCACCGATGCGAGAAAGGCTAGGGGGCCAAAAGCAGAGGGAGGGCAAGGGCCGCTTCCAGGGAGCCCCCAACGCGGCCTCGGCCTCACTCTGGGCGACCTTCCCTCGGCGGGGTGTCGCACTCACATTGTGAACGGGGCAGGGGGACGGGCGAACGGGTGGGCGGGCCTCTCTGGCGGCGGCTGCTGCTAGGGAGTCGACTTCTCTCCAGTGGCGACTCCGCGTTTTCTCCCCGGTCGCGGCCTCTTCTCGCTTCCCTCAGGCGACGGCGGCAGCGGCGGGCTCGACCTCGGTCCCCAGAATGCACCGCGCGGAAAGAGCGGCTCCTCCGGTCGGGGAGAAGAGGAAAGTGTAGGAAAACGGGCGCGAGGACGGAGAATGAACGTGCGTGCGTGCAAACGAGGGGTGGTGAGGCCGGGCGGCGGCTGGTGACGCAGCAAAATGCCCGGGCCTTACCGCCGCGCGTGCGCAGTCCTTGTTTTCGGGGTCCGGCGCGGCTTTCTAGAGATATCTACGGAAAGGGCGGGGCTTCCCAGCTCCTTCGCGATCCTTCCTGGCGTCGGCCCCGCCCTTCGTCCGCCACCCCACCGCCACCC